CCCAGAACGTCTCTCACCAGAAACCCAGCCTAAGGAAGCCTGCAACTGAATGGCTGTCCCTCCTCCTCCTCCCCCCTCACTCCTTAAGAAAGCACTTACATACCCAGCTATACAAGCAACCCCTGAGAATTCAGGATCTAGCTGTTCTATCAGTTCTCAAAATAAATAAAATTTTATTCACTGAACGCCAACTCTGCTGTAGAAAAAATTCTCCTAACACCAAAGGGCCAACCATGGACCCCCATCCTCAGCTCCACACCCAAACACAGCACCTGTGCATCCTGAGATGTAACTATTTCTTCTCTGTGACATTTCTCTGGTCTTCCTTTATGGAGCAGAATGACATCAGGACTAACAAGGTCTCAAACACACAAACATCGTCCCATGGCCTGCAGCGTGCGGTCCTGCAAAGTCACTTTGGCACTAAATCAGGGGCCAGAGGCTGCCTGGAGACAGAGCGCTGGTGTCTGGACAACCAGCGTGGGCGCTGTCCAAATCCTCCCGTTAATGGCTTTCCCGTTTCAGGAAAGAGTAGCTGAACGTTTTCAGAGCATGAAGCCATTTTTCTCAGTTCTTACGGTTCGCTGCAGGGTGTTTCGTTTTCTAAAATGGAGACCATTGGCTTCCAATTGTGCTTGTGATGCCGCGGCATCCAGCCTGATGCAAGGACACATCCCCGCCCGCTCCTGGCCGGGGACCCCCAGGAGGGCTGTTGGCAGGGCCGCCGCTCCTCCTTCCAGTGGCGAGTTCCCTCCGCCAGACGCTTCCCATAATCAGACGGTAGGTGCTCTACATCATGAATAAATAATTGAACCTGAACGCTCAGTGTGCAAGTGCCATAACGTAACATTTTAGCTCACTTTATTATAAAAACTAGAGGCCGATGCACGAAATTCCTGCAAGAGTAGGCCTTCCTTCCCCTGGCTGCCGGCTTCCCTCTGCACCCGGGATGCAGGACACAGGCTTCCCTCGCAGCCCCAGCGTCATCCGGAAGGTTGTCCGAAAGGACGTCCGGTCTAATTAGCATATTACGCTTTTATTATTATAGGTGAGAATGCATTCTCCTCATACTGCACTAAGTTTTGAATAAACTCTGCAAATATCCCACCAGAAGAGTCTGATCCCATTGACTTGTCAAAGGTCATACCAGCCATATGCAATGGGAAACTCGTTAACACGTCTTTCGTTCTGTAGTGATCGAGCTCATAAAAGAACTGAGAGCCACGGAGATGCACAGGATCAAATCTGATCTACAGAAGCTTCCCCTCATGAAAGAGAGGACATTGGACCCAATGGACCGCACGGTGAGAAAGGTGGTGGGTACGACCACTGAGTGGTTCTGATGACTCGGAGGCAGGAAAGGCGCGTGCGGGTTAGGCGAGGGCTGACCTGGCCTTGGAGACAGACCAGGAGGCGGGCAGGCCGGTAACGGCAGAGACGGGCAGGTGGTGGACCAGGCAGAAAGACACGTCCCACCACCTGCCCACGCGCCTCAAAAGGAGGCTCCATGAAAGAGCTGGGTGGTGTGTGGGGTGGAGAGGAGAGCCGAGGTGGACTGTGGAGGCCTGGACACGAGGCCCAGCAACCGGGAGCTCACTCAAACGGTACGAGGGAGCCCATGACGGTTCCTGGGAAGGGAAGGAGCAGGATCTGATTTCAGAAGACCCATCTGCTGGTGACAAACTGCAGCTCGTGCTGCCGGGTGCAAAGGCAATCGCCCAACAAGAGGCCAGTGCATTTAGTAACTAAAATACCCGAAGTGATTGTCATCGTGTTATCCTCACGGAGCCAAGGAAGGTTAAATAGTGCGATCGTTTTCCTCGTCTCCCACCTATCATTCTCTCCTGTACTAGACGGTTCTTCGTGGATGCAGTTACTGAGTTGTCCGAACGCACCCAGTCCTCCGGAGATATATAAAAGAGTTTCTTACGTGCAAAGAATTTGAAAATCTCACTGGACAGACACTCATTCCACTTAGAAAGGCGGACGGCATCAGACAGGCCACCCCGCGGGGCCCTCATTTCTCTGGGCGTGCCACCCAATGACACCAGACAATCCTAGCGTCTAAATAGCTATCGGATGTTTCTCCGTCACAAAAATCCTACGAGTTAATAATTATTTTCCCATCGAACAGAGCAAATTACTTAATTTCTGAGTTGGAGTTTGTTCCAAGTGATTTGCTCAAGAGTACAGAGCTTGTAAATGGAAAAGCCGGGACTCAACCCAAGTCCTGTTCAGTATATTTTGAACCCTCACTTCTTTCCAGATGCTAAGACTATTATGCGGGCATGGCAGGTGAAGCTGACGTCCGTCAAATAATCCCATGAAGAAATGTTCAATTATGCCTGACTGGCGTGGCTCGTTTGAGGATTTGCAGGCCATACAGTCTCTGTGGCAGCTCCTCGACTCTGCACTTTGCCGTTGTAGCACAAAAGTAGCCAGAGGGCCCCGAAATGAATGGGCATGGTTACGTTCCTACAAACTTGATGAAAACGGGGGCAGTGGCTATGCTGAGGAGGAAGAAGAATGAAGTCCTTGTGAACATCTGTGATGCTTCAGCACTGTCAAGCACTCTGCTGGTTCATGTAGTCCTCCCAACAGTCCTTCATGGGACTGATATTTTCTCCATTTAGAACTCAGGAAGTTAAATGGCTTCCCTAAACCCAGCTGGCATGGCTCAGTGGGAGAGTGTCGACATATGAACCAGGAGGTCATGGTTCAATTCCTGGTCGAGCACATGCCTGGGTTGCAGGCTTGATTCCCAGAGGGGGGTGCAGGAGACAGCCGATCAACGATTCTCTCTCATCGTTGATGTTTCTCTCTCTCTCTCTCCCTTCCTCTCTCTGAAATCAAAGCATATTTAAAAGGAAAAAAAAAGAACTTTCAAAAAAAAGGAAGAAATGTTAAATTTTAATTGTAACAAGAGCCACAGATGCGACCTTGGGTATGACCTTGGCCGGGACGGGGTGAGGGACAGTTCTTCCCTGAGGAGGTCTGATGCAATCTGAGATCTGAAGGGGGAATACCTGAGTTGCCTTGAGGAGAAGGGAGGGCGAAGGCATTCCAGGCAGCAGGCACAGAAAAGCAGGGACGGTGGACGGGAGTGTGGCTGGGGGAGGCTGGGACGTGAGCCTAGCAAACTCAGACTCATCAGGTAAAACCACCCTCGGTGCCCCTGCACAGTGCTTCACGGGCCACAGTAAAGTTCCGTCTTTATCCCAAACACACCGAGAGCTTGTTGCACTGCTGGCTGGGCTGTTTTCCTTGGGGTGAGGGCTGAGCCATGCAGCCTCTGAGAGGAACCTTACAAGGATGGGGATAAAGACGGATATTCGAGGGCATGCACTTCCATGTTCTAGAAGAGACATCCACTGTCTATCTAAACACCCCCAAAGTGGGGATTTAAGCTGCAGATAAAATGGCACTGCAGTCCTGGAGGTAAACTGAGACACGGCTAAGATTACCTTGGAGGGCGGGGCCCAGGAACACAGGCAACCCGAGGCAGTGGGATGAGTGCATGGGAAGAGGCCCGGGCATGGAAGTGGGGGGACCAGCTCCCGGCCTAGAGGCACGGCAGGCGGCCCTTCTCACGCCCCGGCTCCCACCCACGAGCTGTGTGGCTCCAGATACATCGCTCGTCTTCCTGGGACAATTTCCCAATTTGCTATAAGACCTACCCCACGGGGTTACTTCGAGAATAACGTGAGCTACGATACCTAGTGCTGGACCTGCACATGGGACATCCTCAGTAAGTGTAAGCCGCCACCATTATTACTGTAAAAGGTCAACATACGTGGCACGCAGCGAAGAAAGGGAAACCGTGTGTCGGTACACATCTAGCACATGTTCTCACACGTGTATGCACATACGAATCTCCAGGAAAGTGTGTGAAAAATCTAGGTTCCTGGCTTGGTAGCGGGCAGGCCGAGGAAGCTGGGTTTTCCGTCAGCCCCTGGGGATTCTGAAACGGCTGACCCACGCTTCTGACTGAGAAATTTCAAGGCCTAGAACTTAAATATGCAGGCATCGAATAAAGGATTGCACTGCAGGGGCTCAACCACGGGGATAACTTTATGAAACAAATTTCAGATTTTACTGTTGTTACAGCAGAATGAACGGTGATCACTAGCAGAGCCTACTTCTAGGAGTGAACTGAACAACCAGAATCCGCGTGGCTGGCAGAAGACATAGCGGTTGGGTTTTAATAACCACCTTCATACATTATTTAAAGCCGGAGTTCCAAGGGGCCCGAAAATGTCGCCGCACGCTGCCCTGGGAGGAGAAACTACATCAACACCTGGACAGCGGTTTACATGTTCTTTCATTATTAGATTTTGTTTTCTAGCAAAATGTATAGGGCCCACCTTCGACCAGACAGAGAAAATTATTTTGTGCTAAGACACAGCTAAACCTCTGAAGGTCTTTTCACTTCTCAGTGCAGGGTTATTTGCAGGAACTATTTACACTGACACGTGACCTTCAAAAGAGAAAATCAAACAAGTGGCTAAGTTCAGGGGAGGTGACATCACAGGCCTAAGGCACTCAGATCCCGTGAAGAGTGTCCATGAAGAGTATAAACTGAAGGTATTATGTGTGCCTTCTGCTCAAGGCACCACGACACAACCCAATCCTGGGGCTCGGCTTCCTCCGAGAGTAGGAAACGCCGCCCGGGCTCTTCATAATAATAAACAACGCACATTCCTGTCCTATTTGCAAAAATCAGCAGCAGCAGCTGCTACTCGCACAGAATTGTTAACAGAAAACATTTTGCATTCGGAGGCCAAACATTTCAGAACCCGCAGAGTCTGGCGCCAAATGAAGTGCTCGGCCTCTTTAAATTTAAAATAAGGCCTGACAATTCACTTCTACATTCCTTCACCCAATTAAAAAAAAAACAAGACTAAAGCATTTTCCTGGGACTTGGAGGGAACAGCTGGACACATCTGTCAGCTACACATCTTTGGAGCGAAAGGAAAGCAATGCGTGAACGCCATACTCACATGTGAGGGCTGAGCTCATAGAAGTTTCTGTTCCTGTAATCTTCCACTTTCTCCGGTGAATAGATAGGCAGTGACCGGTACGGGTTAACGGAGATGACCACACTCCCAATGTATGTCTGTGAAAGGAAGCGGACATACGCCCATTAGTACGTACACAGCACGTATTGTAACCTCTGAAATTTTATCCTATAAAAAAAAAAATGACGCTAGTTCTACTTGACCATCCATTTTCTATTTTTCAAGAATATGTTACATTTCTGAAGACAGAGAGTCAATGCGTATTCATTTTGCCGATACATGGAAAGCGTGGATTCATACATGGAAAATACTTTTCAAAATCTCTAGATTAATTCAGGATCCTGGCTACGAGCCCTCCGAAGCTCTTGCCAAAAATTAAGTCACCGACCGCTGTGAAGTGTGGGCAAGGGCTGTGCATTCCCCGATTCCAGTTAGAACTGGTGTTTCCCTCTCTCCTCTCTAGCCTCGTGTTTCTGTCTTTACTAAGCAGGTCTCTCTCCCCCCACCCACCACTCCCCACCCCCAGCCATTCCTACCAACAGGGCCTGGCTTGGCCCCGCCCTTACCCAAGCCTGTCCGTCTCTACAATGGGCTCAGGCCAGCTATCCCTCGGGCAGCAAACAGTTTTATCTGATATCTAACGTGCTGCAACACCAGAATTTACTTTCTGAAGGACAGTACATTTAATGTCCAACTTAAATTCAGCCCAGCCAGCGTGGCTCAGTGGTGGAGCGTCGGCCTATGAACCGGAGGTCATGGTTCGATTCCCAGTCAGGGAAGAGGCCCAGGTTGTGGGCTTGATCCCCAGTAGGCGGCGTGCAGGAGGCTGCCAATCAATGATTCTCTCTCATCATCGATGTTTCTCTCCCTCTTCCTTCCTCTCTGAAATCAATAAAAATATATTAATTTTTTTAAATAAAAAAGAATAGACAAGACTGCTGCTGTGAAAAAAAAAACTCCCAGTTCCCATGCAATGTTTCCCATTTATTTCTGGCGTTCTGTCACAGGGACCCAATCAATCTGGACTAGAAATGACTCACAAAAAAAAAAGGCTCCACTTTCCTAATTTATTCTATTTAGACGAGACTGTTTCAAGGTTTCTTCACTCTCCACCCGACCTGGGCAAGCAGAAGGGAGACACTAGAAACTTGGTGACTGACTGAGCGGCTTCTAGCTGATTCACTACCCTTAGTGACACTGGTAGACATGGAAACAATGGTCAGCTATTCCTTTAACATCTTCTGGTTGGGAGATCAGCCTTCCTTGGTAGAAAAAGGACACGAATTTACCTTTTTAGGTAGTTTCTTTGAGAGGCTAAAAAGGGCTAATTCAAATGTAACCCTGATATTTTGGGGGCTAGCAACTGGAACTCACGCCAGCAAGCTCAGTGTGCATGCTTGATGACCTATAATTAACGTCACTGCCTCCTTCCCAGAAACTGGTCTTGCAAGGAGTGCCACTGCCCTGGGGGGAGGGGGAAGGTCGTTATCCAACACCTGGGGGCCTTCCCCTAAGCCCACCAAAGGGGGCGGAACCATGTCTGCAAGACAAAGACCCCAGATGATTATAAAAAGCAAAGCCACTCCGATGTGGAAATTATTCCTGGAGTCCACTGTGTTAATAAATGGAAGCGTGCTGGGTATGTCCTTGTTCTTCTGTAACACCTGAATACAGGAATCAACATATATGTTTGCTGTTAGCGGAACAAACAGTTTTGAGGTTGCCCCGAACACGGAACACCAGCCTGGCTAACTGCCAGGTCGGAACCGGCCGGGCTGGCACTCCTGCGGGGACAACTGCCGCTCACCCCAGCACCGGAGGCCACACTCCGAGGTGCGCGTCCCCTTCGCTGCCTGTGACTTCCATGCACACGGGATTGCGTGCTGCCCAGCCACTGCCCTGTCCCCTAGAACAGGCTGGCCCGCTCCGAGGCCCCGTAAATATTTGTTCACCGAGTGACCGGCTCACACCGGGCGCCTCCATCCCTCACCAAGCAGAGGGTACAGACCAGGGACGGCCTACAATCATTCTTCTGCTGAAACACGGTACCGAGCACACGGACTCTGGTGCCCAAACCCGATGTTAATAAACCGGCCTGCTGTGCTGCCCGAGCAACGCCTTAGGCGATACGCTCTCGCCTCGGGTCTGGGTCCTGCTGGGAACATGGGTTTGCAAAGAGGCTGGGACAGACCTACCCACCCAGCATGCACGCCCCCGGGGACCGGGCTGCATACTTCCCTTCAAGAGGCGGGCGGGTTCCTCTCCCCACCCCTCCCACCCGCACTGGTCTACACAGCCGGTGCGACCAAAGGGAGGTTAGAAGAGAAGACAAAAGCAGAGGCTTGAGAAGTGTGTGTGCAGCAGGACGCCCTCCGCTGTTATGCCTGTAGCTGGGAGCCACGATGGGAACGAGCTTGTGCTGTCGGAAGCCGAGGCGCTCTGGACTGCAGGGCCTGACAACCCTCAGACACAGGAGCCCAGGCTGTTCTAAGCACCGCACACCCCCACCCCAACCCCCTGCCGGGCTAATTGGCCTGCAGCCACAGGCTGAGCCCGGCTGAGCCCAGCCTCCGCTGCTATCCCAATGAACTGGGGGCAAATGAATGGTGGTTGTTTTAAGCCAGGGGTCCTCAAACTTTTTAAACAGAGGGCCAGTTCACTGTCCCTCAGACCGTTGGAGGGCCAGACTATAGTTTAAAAAAAAACTAGGAACAAATTCCCATGCACACTGCACATATCTTATTTTGAAGTAAAAAAACAAAACGGGAACAAATACAATATTTGTATTTGCATGTGGACCGCGGGCCGTAGTTTGAGGACCCCTGTTTTAAGCCATTCATTTCTGGAGGATGGTTTGTCACACGGCAACAGTAACTGATACACCCACACAGCTCCACGAGTAGAGAAAGGGCCCAGGCAGCACAACATCCTCAGTCGAAATACGCAAACAATGAAAGACCCTGGGCCATCTCTACAGGCCACTGTTTCCGATGTGTGTCCTGGTCCTGAACTCCCTGCAGGTTTGACCTCCGCGCTGACACCTGCCCTTGCTGTGTGTGCGTTTCCTCCTTGAAGGTCCTATGGGCTTTAGTCAAACATGTAAATATCCCCACGTTCCTGCCAGGAAGATAACCTGAAAGTTTACAGTCCCGCCCTCCTCTCTCTAGGGCTGGCAAGGCCGCCTGATAGCAGGGGACAGGTGTCGGCAGGTAAGTAACTGCAGCACCAGGTGAAACCTCCTGTGTGGGGATCGAAACAATAGGGACCCGACAGCTCATTTCTACATCAATTCACACTTAGACTTAGAAATGATATGCTCGATTTTTAACAAGCCACTGTATAGCACTTACAGTTGGTATTTTTTATTATATCATGTCTCAAAAGTATGGCAAACTGACTCATCAAGTAGCCACCGGCACTAAAAGTCAGAGATCCGACTCAGAGCTTCTTAAAGTCAAGTATGTGCATAGAAGGGCTGGTCATTGTGTGTTTTATTCTGAACGTGCTGAGGGGGGAAGGAAGAGGAGGGGAAGTACTGGGAACCTTCACAAAAGGGAGCAGCCACAGTAACCCTCCACTTGCCCGTGGAGTTCCACTCGCCGATTCCACTGGAAACAAGAGGCTGGTATGTCCGACCTCTCGCACCAAAGCTATCCAGAGCTCGGGTGACGCCAGTCCCAAGGGAGCCACAGACCAGGCCACCACTGTGGCTGTGCTCACACCTGAACCTGGTTCCTCGGTCCCAAAGGGCTCACAGAGAAGCTCTGCTAGAATCCAGATGTTCTTCTTCGGTTGTTCACACCAATAAAGGACCCTTCCCACTAATGGCCAAAACTACTCACCAGTAGGTTCTATACACCTTCCCCAACAGGGACAGGTCTCGTCTGGCTCTCATTACCTACCCTCAATGAATGAATGGATGACAGACTGATAGATGGATGGATGGATGGATGGATGGATGGATGATGGATGGATGGATGGATGATGGATGGATGGAGGGAT